TCCTGACAGCAAACTGGTAAAAGAGTCATGCTGCTCCTTGCCAGTGGCAAGAACCCTCCCTCCATCCCTGCAAAGCAGTCGACCCCAGGACAGCTACATGTTAGAACTCAGCCCTGAGGATGAGCTCACAGCTGCTTCCCAACATGGCATGGCTGGAAAGACTGGGATGGAATGACCTAGAGTGCAGGGAAAGAACTGGGAAAACATTCAATCAGATTGAAAACAAACCTCTGCCAACACCTCCCTCCTTTCTGAGTACCTCACAAAGAGAAATGCTGCAGAAGGTGTGTTTGCTCCTAATAACAAAATACCCCAGCTTTTTCTTATTAAAGACTTACCACTGACTGCTGTCCCCTGTACTTGTCTTTTTTCATACTGCTGTCCTTTCATTCTTCTGCAGGCAGGCAGAGGAGTGCCCAGTGCTGCACTGCTGGGGCTCAGCAAGTGGGTCAGGTTTGGTACAGGACCTCCAGGGACTGCTCAGCTGCAGAGAACTTATTAAATTTTCCATATTATTTTCATCTCAGGTGGTGTCAGACGGCTCTTTGTTAGGTTCTTTATTCCACTAACTCCTCATCATGCACACAGGCAGTGAGAAGAGCATTCACCTCACGCAGTTTCAGACACCCAAAGCACAGGAGTCCACATCTCAGCCAGATTTCAGGTCTCCAACATAGCTGCTGCAGGGCAACAGACATTGCCAGAGGGAAAGCCAGATATCTTAGACACCTGTCTTGAGATGAGATGGTTCCAAAGCGTTTGTCCTGACAGTTTACACTATGCCCAGTGTTGTGGCAGAACTTCCCTACCCCAAGGAGGGGTGGAAGGTGCTTCCCTTCTTTGAGGGAAGAAGGTGCTGGGGAGTACCAGAGTTCTGAGCATTAAGGCAGAAATACCCAAAAAATCCATCCTGCCTTCACTACAATGCATATTTCACCCTTTCACCCAAGACCTCTTCATAGTAAGCCCAATATTTTAAACTAAACCTGCAATACTAGAGAGACATTTCCTCTAAAATCTGGAAAAGGATATAGAAATTCTAAGGGCTCCTCCTTACCCCAAACCTGCTGATCAAAACTTTCTTCCTGTACATGTGGCAGTCAAGTCAGCTCCTTACCAGCCCTCATCCCAGCTAACCAAATTGCACTCCTCTCACCTGGAGTCAAAGCAAACCCAAGTCATCTGTGGCTTTCCAAGAATTCTTCCTGGCACTTCCCCTCCTTTCTTCAAGTACAGACAGCAGGCAGCGTGTCCCTCTTTAAACGGACAAAGTCACTGCTCCTACTTGCTCTCCAGAGTTGCAGGGTTCCTTTCTGTCTCACAGCTCCATCATGAGCTCACTCTCACATGATCACACATGAGGATCCCATGGACTCTCTCCCTGACACTGCTCCCCAGATGGGTTCACACACACCTCAGACAGAACCTGAATTCTTTGCTCCCAACTACACGTTCTACTACCGTAAATGAGTGTGGGTTGTTTCCCCCCCCCACTGTCCTATTTAATCAGATACCAGCCTACAAGGGCTGATTATATCCTTACTACTAAAGAGTGCGAGCAGATATTCCCAGGATACCAGCCTACAAGGGCTGATTATATCCTTACTACTAAAGATCCCATACACTGCCTTGCTGCAGGATCCCATGGCACACAATTCCCATGGGCTATGCTGCAGTGCTGAGTCGGTCCTCAAGTGTTTGTTAAATCAGGGCTGGCATAAGGCACCATCCATTCCTGTGGTCACAGGAGGCCCATAATAACCAAGGTAGACTTGCTTTGGCCACCCATACTGAAATTTAAATAACAAGCCCAATTTCATCCTCCTTCTGGAACAATTCGAAAGCAACACAGCATGATGAAAGGAGAAGAGAACAGATGGGTTTTGTTGTCTGCATGCTACCATGGCAAACTTTTAATGGAAACTCAACCCCCTCCAAGAACACCCTGACTATGAGATTCATAAATTCTAAGAGCCGAGAGAAACCAGCAAAATTATTTTGTCTGTCCGCCTGCCTAATAAAGACCACAGAATTTCATACAGTGATTTCTGCCCAAAGCCCAGCAATTTGTGGTTCAAACAGAGTATCTCAAGCAGCCCACTGTCCAGCTTTGATGTGAGGATGTCCAATGAGGCGCTAACCACTTCCCATGCTGTCAAAATCTGGCTCTTCTACAGGTTTCTTGCATCTCTTCACCACTGCAAAACTTTTTTAGCCTTCCCAAAGACATTAATACTTTTAAGCACTTTTACCATCTCTTATCAAAAATCTCAAACCACCAAAAAGAAGGAAAACAGAGATTCTAAGACACAAAACACTAAGCAAATACACAGAAAAAGAAGAAAAACAGAGAATCTCTATGTACACTTCTGCTGTGATTAAATGGATGAAATCTGTATTAAAATGCAAGGTCCACTCATTTGCCCACTCCAGATAACACAGTGGAAAAATTATCTGGTACAAAACAAAACCAAAAAATTCCAAATGTACACCTGTGTGACTTGTAGGGAAAGCACATTTGTTTGGTTAGAAAAGTAGTTTTTCCTGCCACTTATAAAGTTTGCCACAGTTTCACAGCAATAAATATTTCCACAGCAGAAACCTTAAGTGGACAGAACAAAATCCACTTCAAAACCAACTCCTGAAAGATCGGCCTAGTAAAAAGGCAGCTCACTGCTGAACATCCCCTTCTGACTTTTTGTCTCCAAAATTATGTGGTTGGTAGCACTGATGGGTGAAGAAAAAATATTTTTTTTCCCAAACCCAAAATGGCAGCAGTCCAGAAGGCTGGAAGACCAAACTTGTCCAAGACGAAAAGTTTGTATATTGAGCACAGAATTAACACAAGCACTTCTTCCTTGTATCTTGTAAGTGGCAACCCTGGTGATTAAGTTCCTCCACCCACAGACCCAAAACAGCCCAGGGAACAGCCCTGAGACTCCCCTGTGACATCAGCCTGTGTTGGAGGATGGGAGGGGGCTTCAGGAACCATCTCCTAAATCCACTCCAGTTCCTGTTCACCATTCCTGTAACCACATTCACATTTAATAAAACCAGGCCAGAAGGTTCATTCCAACAGTGTCTCTTCTATTGCCACTTTCAAAGAGATGCTTTCTCACCCTCTGTCTGCATTTGTGCCCCAGTCAAACTTGGGCTTGGAAAACAAATTCTCAGGATGGATATCTATGGTCCCATGCTTCAGACTCTGCTGGGATGAACCTGGCTCCATTTTCTGCTCTCCCACAGAAGGATTGGTGTCACCTGCAGAACAGGTAAAGGTGCAGCTCCAGCTCATGAAGGTGCTGAGCTGGCTGTGGGCAGTGTGCTGCTAATAAAGGTACTGAGTGTCTGTGTAGGGTGTCTCAGGGAGGCTCAGGCACACATTTAATGGCACTTAATTGTTACAGCCATACCTTCTGTGAGGTGATAGCAGGAACACCTCTGGCTGGGGCTTTCCCAGCTGTCCATGAGGTCCTGCTACTACACCAGACACAGGACTATGGCAACAGGAGCAGTATCCATGTGGAAAAGAGCAGGACATGTAGGCTTATGAATTAGACACTCATCTAACAGGGCAGGTGTACACAAACCATCTAATGTACTATTGCATGTTAAACTTCAGACTGTTTCAAGGCAGAGCAAAGGTGCTCTTCTTTAAGATTACAGGCACCACAACATTGTGCATTGAAATTCTTACATCAATCAAAACTCTCTGTTAATGTGTATGGGTGCAATCTAAGCCTGCACAACCTCTGTGAAACAAAAGTGCACCTGAAGCAGGAACAGCTGGGCCCCATTTCTGTACACACAGACCTGCAGCAATCATCACTAAAGATGCTGTACGGCCACATAACTGCACTGATTGAAAGAATTCAGAATTAACAGTGGTTCAGCTGAAAAGGCATTGCTTCTGAAAAAGCCAAAAGCACTGTTTTTTGAGGTCCTGGGTAACCAACAGTTAAAGCTCTTCTTTCAAATTATCCACCCTGAAGTGATCATAGCAGGTAAAAGTAGTAATCCTCACAGAGCAACAGTGCAGAAGATAGAGTGAAACCCCACAGCCAGTTTAAGTATAAGCCTCACAGTTTCCATTACTGCTACTGTAATGATTTTGCAACTCTTATTTATTTTTCACCATTTCAGCTGCTAGTTTGTGGTAAATATTTGGGGGCAAAAAAAAAAAATAAAAAGAACCTAAAACCCCAGAGACTGCCCATCCTTGACAGGAACAGTCCTGGCATGCCTGGAATGTGTAAAACCACAAAAGAGCCATTTCTGTTCATATTACTCCTTATGAAATCCCCTTTTAAAGAAGTCTCAGCACTGGAGCTTTAGGCACTCAGCAGAGCCCCTATAGGATTGCCTTTTACTTTGAAATGTGACTTATCAGCCAAAGCCCAGGCGGGTTTGGGTATCTGACTGTTGTGCCCTTTGCTTTGAACTCCAGAACCGTTACGTGCACGGCTGCCAAACTGGTCAAGCCATTTTCCTCCCCTCCTTTGTTCCCAGGTTCAGGATAGATAAAAGCTGCACCAGGCTGCTGCCTCACCAATGCTAATTTGACTGTTAATTTTACATTTAAGGGGGAAAAAAATAATAAAACCCAACACCACACACAGTGATTATCACTGTTACCCACACAAAGGCCAGAACAACCACAGCATGATTCAACAGGACCTGGGCTGCAGTGGCTATCTCTGGACACGCACGAGAATGTTCTTTGGCAATGCCGTTCTGCAGCTCTGACACATCCTTTTCTCTTTCTGAGTCTTTTTTTTCACCCTCACAGACTGTTGTAACATCAGCAGGGTGGCAGCCTGGTGACAGCAAGGCTTTGATCAGCCCCATCCACTTATAGGGACACCTGTAGGGCACAGGCTGAGCAGATGCCCAGGGAAGTTGTGGATGCCCAACCCCTGGAAGTGTTCATGGCCAGGTTGGAAGGGGCCTTGAACAACCTGGTCTGATAGAAGGTCTCCTCAACACCACACACAGTGATTATCACTGTTACCCACACAAAGGCCAGAACAACCACAGCATGATTCAACAGGACCTGGGCTGCAGTGGCTATCTCTGGACACGCACGAGAATGTTCTTTGGCAATGCCGTTCTGCAGCTCTGACACATCCTTTTCTCTTTCTGAGTCTTTTTTTTCACCCTCACAGACTGTTGTAACATCAGCAGGGTGGCAGCCTGGTGACAGCAAGGCTTTGATCGGCCCCATCCACTTATAGGGACACCTGTAGGGCACAGGCTGAGCAGATGCCCAGGGAAGTTGTGGATGCCCAACCCCTGGAAGTGTTCAAGGCCAGGCTGGAAGGGGCCCTGAACAACCTGGTCTGATAGAAGGTCTCCCTGCCTATGGCAAGGGAGTTCAACTAGATGATCTTTGCAGTCCCTTCCGACCCAAACCATTCTGTGATTCTGTGTGAGCTTGCTTTGCTGGAGCAATGAGGTGATCAACTCTTGTTACAGCATTAGTGCAGTGCTGCCCACACCATCTCTCAAGGTGCCTCAGGTCAAATCCTGCTCCTGTTTAAGTTACTAGGTAAATTTTTTGCTGTCTTCTTTTTTTTCATTTTTATCTTTTTTTTTTTTTTAATATTTATTTTATTCCTGAGATTTCTGTGATCACCTTTCCAGTAGATCATCACTACAGGCACATGGCAATCTGTAGTGTGAGGCTCATGTCTGGCTTGAACTTAAGAAAGCACCAGATCAATGGAAGATCAAGCTGAAACACAGGGACTGTTAACCCCAATTTCCAGCACTTACTGCCTTTCGTTTGTGCAGACTGACATGGAGCCCTGCAAAATGCAAGCACTGAAGTTCATAAGCAAGAGGTCTGGCAGGACAAACATTAAAGACTGTAAGAAAGCACAGGCAAAGAAGTATCTGGTACAGAACTGAAAAAACAAAAGATAAATGATAAGCAGGAATTCCCCAGTGGGCTGAGTTTATCAGTGTGATTGCTTTCAGGACTTTTTTCTTGTTGTACCACCTTGATTTGCATACAAAGCATCTCTAACAGGAAATAGCATCTGTCCTGGAAAAAAATAAAACAAACAAGAAGGATAAGGATTCTTGCTGCCAAGAGTAAAATGTCTTTTGGCACTATGTGACACGCCAGAAAGCCCCTCTCCTCACAAAAGCAGTGGCATATTGCAGCTCTTCTTCACTCCTTGCTCTGCGTCCCATCCCAGGGGCAGCAGTGCATAATGCAGCTCCTCAGGAGAGCTTCCATACTTAGAAAATCTGAAATTGAAAGAAAAAACAAGCAGGTGAGTTGATTTGCATTCCAGATTCACAATTAACATTGCACTAAATTAGTTTGTAGGAAGTGGAAGAGCAAAAAGGAAAACCGCCAACTTGAAAATGCAAATCTTCACCCTACTACAATCACAAGCCACAGCCAGGATTCCTACAGGCTAGGAAGGCACCAGTAAGAACCCATTTTTCACTACTTTTTCAATGTGGTCACTTCATGAACTTGACAGTGGCTTGTAATATGTGGTTTCAATCCTATACCATATATAGCCAGTTTCATTTCCTGAAAAGAACATGAACGGAAAAGCAGAAAACCTTTAAATTATTGTAAAGGTCTTTCTGTCTTTTTCTTTCTCCTTTTTGTCTTTTATTGCTGCCTTCCCACACTAAAAAAAGACATTTATTAAATTAGTACAACCTTAAAAAATGGATCTTTTCCCAAGGCTCTTGGATCATCGAGAATATAGGTTGCTGTTTTGAAACTCACACACCAACTTGGCAGCACAGCACGGAATCACAGCATTTTGTTTGAGTATGGTACACATACATGGATACACACGATTCCTCTGCACATGGCTCCAGGGGTCGTGGTTCAAGCCCAGCAGTGAGCACAGTGAGGTATCTTCCACAGCCCCGTGCACTGGTATTGCAGGACCTCAGCTGTCCATGGCCACCAGCAGTCACAGCCCCACGGGAAGCAGAGCCGCGAGTAAAATCTGGCTTTCCAGATGAGTAAGTGAGACAGTGGTAGTTATAACACTAAACCTCTCTGCTTTTTTGTGCAGAACTCAGGTCATTGCCTCATCTGTCTGGGCTCTGTGTCTCTCGCTATGGGAGCCCACACCATTAGCAGGGAGAAGAAGACTTTGCCACCCCAGGGCTCCTCTGTGCTTCTCTTCTGTCCTGGCTGTGGATAAACACTCAGGTTTTCCAAGCACAGTTACAGGGGTCCTATTTAACTATCATCTAGGCACAGCCCCATGTCCCATCAGCTCTGTTGCTCCTCAAGGGCTGGGACAGTCATTGGGAACACAGGCCAACTGGACCTTAGGAAAGAAACTGCAGCAAAGACCAACAGCATGCTGGGCTGCAGGAGCAGAAACAGCCAGGAAATCTCAGACCCCATCCTGCATCTTATTTTGGTATGAGAAACACCAGAACAAACTAGAGCAAGTGCAGTGGAGGAGCAGTGGTGACTTGCCCAAAGAGAAGAGGCTGTGGGAGCTGGGCTTGTTCAGCCAGGGCAAGGGATGGCTTTGAGGATGCAGCAGCAGCCCCAGCACCTGCAGGGAGGTCACTGGGAACACAGCCAACTTCACCAAAAGCAGGAGTTGACCAAACAAAGTGATGAACAGCCCGGTCTGATCTCACAGCTGACCCACCCAAGATCCCTTTAAGCCTGTATTATCCCACAGGCCATCTTCAAACTGCCACCAGTGCAAAGGCTTTGGAGGAAAGGGTGGATGATATCCCCAAGTGAAAGAGTTAAAGAAATGACCACATCCAAGACCATGAAGTCCCAGAAGGCACCACTGAGCACTGTGCCCATGTTCCTCTCAGGACACAACAAACCCCAGTCCTGCATGCAGTCCCACAGCAGCCCACATGCAGCTGTTCATCTCAGCTGGGGTGCCAGTGACCAAGGAACCTTTGTCCATGTCCCATCTGCAGCACACACATGTCCATCCTTCTTCCCTGCTTATGCGCATAAATACACACACATAGTTACAGAAAAAGCAGGATTCCCTAAGGCCCATGTCTAGGTAAATCACAAAAGGGCTCTCCATATACTGCCCAAGGCTGCAGCCTCTACTCCACAGGATGGAGATGCCTCAAGAAGCCTTCCCTCTGCCCCAAAAACTGCCCAGCTCTGGTGCAGGATGACCCAGCTACACTGTCAAGAGTATGGCCACATCATCCTCTCCATCCCTTGTGTCAAAAAGGGTGTTGGAAAAATGTCTTCCTTTCAGTCAAAATAGCCTATGTTGCTAAAGGACAGGAAATGTTCACAACTGAGAAGATGAAAAGGAACTTTACCAAGAGTATGGCCACATCATCCTCTCCATCCCTTGTGTCAAAAAGGGTGTTGGAAAAATGTCTTCCTTTCAGTCAAAATAGCCTATGTTGCTAAAGGACAGGAAATGTTCACAAGAAGATGAAAAGGAACTTTATAGATAGCGCTACCAAGTTCCAGCTTTTTAGAAGAACCCATACAAACTACAAGGCAATTGCCACATGTGCTGGGTGGGCAGAAGAGGAGGAGGTAGAAAAGGAGAGGTTCATCTTCTCACCCCAGGTCACCAAGAAAGTCAGTGGAAGAGCCATAAATATACTTCCTCCCCACTATCCCTGAGTTTGGATGCTCCCCATCCTCTTAAGGCATCTGTTTGATAGCCAAGCTGTGCTAGGAGGTAAAGCTCCCCTCCTCATGTTGCACATAGCCACACTTCTCTTTGGAGATCATTGCTTAAGGGATGCCAACTCCCCACCAGAAGTCAGTCCTGACCAAGTATCATCTTTCAAAAATGCAAACTTGCATCTGCATTAAGAAACCTACCCCGTTTCAATAATATGCTCACCAAAGTGTTCTGAGATGTGGTCTTGTCTCACAGGAACTTAGAGGCTCTAAGGGTTTATCCACATGTGAGTTTTTTTGTACTTGGAAGTGAGACCAGCAAGCATTTTTACACCTACCTATTCAAAGAGTTTTATTTTCAGTACAAAGAGGGTATCAGACCACTCAGTTTCAACTTCTGCTGAAATTCCTGTGTGACCCAGGACAGCTCATTTCAAGCAGTTCTGAGTCCTCATGGTGACTTGTGCTAAACTAAATTTCTGTAACTGCACCCATACCTGCATAAATCAGCAAGAAACCACAGCTTCAGTCAAAGTTAGTACAGAAATAAAGACTGAAAAACCCCATCTCCAGCTTCTCATTGATAGGTAAGTTCTTGAAGCCAGAAATACCTTCAGAAACAGCTTCCCTCTCCTCTTTCCACCCTCCCATTCCCTCCAGTCTTTGAGCTAGGCTTCAGGGCAATACTTTGCAACTTTGTTTGCCAAAGGAGAAGGATGCTTTCTGTCTGGGAAGCCGGGAAGACTGTGCTGGAGCACAGCAGACCCCGGGCATGCAATTACCCAGGCAGCAGCAACAATATGTTAATTCACTGGATCACTCTGAAATGAAGCACAGTGCAAGTCCCTGGAAAAAGTGAAAAGGAGCCTGTTAAGGAAACTGTGTGAAGGCCTTGTGCACAGCAGCCCCTTGGAGTCCAGACAAGGATGGACTTTGCACAGACATCATTTTTAGACCTGAACTGGCAGCCAGCACGCCTGCTCTTCCCACCGCAGGGCATCCAACAGGAATGATGGGAACTATGCTCAAGGTTGACAGGGGACATTGGGCAAAATCCTTATTTTTAAAAGCTGCCATGCATCAGCCCCTGCAAGGGACACCTGCAGAGCACTCATCCAGGGCAGATCACAGTCATAATGCCATGCACACTCTGTCTGTGTCCAGAGACTTCTCACACTTCCAGGAGAGCAGTCAGCAGTCTCCTTCTTGGTGTCTGCAGCTGCCAAGCTCACATCCCAAGCTCAGCTCCTCTATTCAGCTGCCCAGAACTCCTTAGGTTACTCCTGTCCTCCAACAACAAACAACAAAGCCAACATAGCAAGGAGTGGAGAAACAGACTGAAATGGACCTTTGGTGAATTTGTTATGAGAAGTCAAAGCCCTCAGAAGGTCTGCATTGACTGGCTACCTCCTGGTGCATCACCCTTCTCCTACTGACTAGGAGTGCTCTCCTCTAACACCCAGACAGAAACTAAGGCCTTGTGACAGCAACATAACAGAAGTAGTCTTGCACTCCTAAATCAGAAGGGATGCCTTGCTGCAGGCAGGAAAACTGGCTTCTCTCCTAGGGAAAAGGGACAGAAGAAGTCACAAAGATCTCTGCTACCTCCCTATGCTGGACACACTGCCCACCTGCATACTATGAATACAGATTCTAGATATCACAGATCTCCTTGAGGAGCAAGCAATGACTTCATCAAAGGCAAGGGCAGCTTTAAACTAGCATAGCCTCTTGTAGAGAACTTTCTGTTGTAATCCATATATAGATTAAACTCACCAAGTGGAAGAGTTGCACACCAAAGCTCTTTCTGCATAAGGCTATTGACCAGTGAACTGATACACTGAAGTCAGAAGCTCATCTGTGCCGACACACTTCTTGAGGAATGAGAGTGTGGCTTCCATGCATAAATACAGCTGTTACCCTGAGGAGCAGGGGGACGCCAGTTTAATGCCAAGAAGTTTAAATTCAGTACTTACATTGCACCAAAACTCCTGGGTTGCTGCAGAAATAGGATGAACAGCAGCAAACATCCAGAGAAAGTCTTCTGCTAGCTTCTGCTATTCACTGGCTCTTTTGGAGACAGTTTTTTGAGTGTAAAACTAAGACAAATCTTGTTTAAAAATGCATCTGTTTTGTACAGATTGAGTTTTGCTCTCCAAGGAGATGGGAAAAGTAAAGCACAAAACTGATCTGCAAAGACAACAGTGCCTAGCCACAAGCTCTGGCCTTTGCAGAACTCTTGATGGCTGTCCCTGAATGGGAGCACTTTGCTGCCAGATGACGTGTCCCAGACGAGATGACTTTCCTGAAAAGCACTAACACGCGGTTAAAAGCTCAGTTCAGACAAGCAGCGAAACAAGTCTGTTTTCTGGTTTTTGAGCTGAATATTCAACACTTTCCATGTTTGCTCTCTCACAGGTTATCTAGGCTGCACAATCAGCAAAACTGCAAAAACACTTGCTGGGGCTCAGCTACCAGGCAGTCTGTAATGGAGCTGTTCTGGAGGAAAACAGAAGTGTTATTGTGCTCACGGCTGTCCCAATACAATTAGTCATATGTGATGGAGAGATACGCATCCTCACAGAGCTCTTACTGCCTTGTCAACAGATGAAGTCAAAATGAAAACATCCTA